ATAGAACAACGCCACCTGAGAGACACTCATCAAGATATTTTGATTAACGATTGAAATCGAGATCGTTTCAATTAGGAGAACAGAATTCAAAAGGACATTTGTCTAATGACGTTATTTTAATAGGGCAATTGCAGCATCTTTGTAGGCACTCCCTTATATCCAGCTCAATAGAATGGGTTTGTGATCGTACCTCAACTCTAAAGAATGGCGACGGTCCTTGATCTTCTTCGGTTGTGTCCATTGAATTCTGTCTTATACCTGGCCATCCCTCACCTGTCGTCACGACAAAAAGCGTTAACATCGCATTTATCGTGTTGTCATAGTTGAATGGTCGAAGTCGCCATTCACGCATCTCAACTCGTGGTGGTTCATTCTGCAATTTCAGTTTATTCAACCAAAACTAAGTATTCGGATCATCTACTTTCTCGCAAAAACGAATGTTGACATGCTAATATTTGCCACTAATGTACTTGTTCATTGCGCTATTGCTAATGTTGTTCTTGCAAGTACCTTATGTACAACTGTTCAATAATCGATGCGATGCAAGATATAAGGTGGTACGAATGAAATCTTGCACGATAAACATTGCGAATGTCTTAGGGAGCGGTTTTTTTGGTTTGATCTTGAATTGAACGCTTTTCGAACGTTTAGTGATGTATCGTTAGAGGATTGAACGCGAAGGACACCAGTGAATTTTGCGCACGTTGCCAGTTGAATTAAGTGCGCGGTTGTAATGGTTGTGCTTAGAATTCTTCGCAAATATTGACGGAACATATCGAAATAACGTGCATCGTACAAGAGTTTCATGCCATATTTCAACGGTCACTCCGTTAATGGATCGAAAGTGAAACTTTTTAGATCTTCTATAAAACAAATGCACCAGTTGCATTTTATTTACAACATGCTCTTTCCGTTACGTAAATGGAAAGAACTTTTCACATCAGTGCTTTTCGTACACAACCTGGCCGACTGTATATTACAGTTGGACAAGTTGATAGTTCACAGCTATTCACCGTCCAACAATCACTAAATTTCTTCAACT